CTAACCATCTGACTATTCCGTTCCAAAAAACCACTGTGTCATTTTTCAGATCTAGACTCAACAGCCCAAGGTGAAATAAAGTCGTTAGGGGACATTGGCACATGCAAAAACTGCTCTTTTGGTGTTGCTGTAGCTGGATAACATGGATGCTGCTTGCCCCACACAACTTTGGGGATTATGCAGAGCTGGAGTTGGCAGTGTTCTAAGAGTGCTGGGCCAGCCTGTTTTCTGCCCAAGTTAGAGGTTAATTACGGAGGTAGAAACTCGGCAGCAGCTGCGTATCAGCTCAGTTTGAGGTAAGGTGTTGCCAATCATTTTATTGGTAATATCTTGCCTTTGTGCTGTGTGGTGGCTCCCACTCTAGCATGTGGTTTGCCTTCCACATACAGCTCTTTCTAGATGCCGTGGCTCCCTACCCCACATTGCACCCCACACATTTTGGCTGTGTGTGACTGGTGGCACGCTGGGGACAGTGACTTGGGGCTTGTAGTTGGGTTCGCTTTGGGAAATGAGATGCTTTGTCTATTTGCCTTCTGTGCTGTCTGTCTGAACATGGCCTTTGCTTTGATGCAGGTATTTTGGACACTGCCATTGTGGATCGAGGAAGAAATGTCCTTTCCTGCTCTAGAGATGGCACTGCCCGCCTCTGGGACTGTGGCAAATCCGCCTGTCTGGGTGTCATTGTTGACTGCGGCTCTCCTGTCAACGGCATTGCTGTGAGCACTGCTGACAACTCGCTAAACCTGGGCATGCCTGAAAAAGCTCCTAGTAAGGACCTTACTCTTAAAATTCATCTTCGTTCCCCTGTCCCAAACTCCTTAGGCTTGTCACCAATAATCCTGGGTGCATGGCATGCTGCTGTGTGCCCTTGTACCACCTAGGGAAAGGAACTAGGATCACGAGAATAGAGCACTCCAGTCCTGTGGAGAAATTGAGCCTTATCAAGCACTTTACGACTGGGATCTCTGTGATTACTGGCCTCCCTTGCTGCAGCTGGTGTCTTAGGGTATGGAGGAATGCTGTTATAGGTTCAGCCGGGGTAGAGTAGAATAGACTATTTCAGCTGGAAGCGACCTACAATGATCATCTAGTCCAACTGCTGAACAATTCAGGGCTGACCAAAAGTTATAGCATTTTATTAAGGGCATTGCATTGTCCAAATGCCTCTTAAACGCTGACAGGCTTGGGGCATCGGCCACCTCTCTAGGAAGCCTGTTGCACTGTTTGACCACCCTTTCAGTAAAGAAATACTTCCTAATGTCCAGTCTAAACCTCCTTGGTGCAACTTTGAACCATGATCCGAACTGTCAGGTTTTGGTGCCATCAGGACTTGTTGCGCAGCCACTGCTGGAGTTAACTATTGTCCTCTTGTCAGGCGAACGTGAGGTTGGGACAGAAGGGAAAATCCTGCTGCTGGCTCGAGAAGACAAGAAACTTCAAGGAGTGGGACTGCAGAGCAGGCAGCCGGTAAGGAGTCTGAGGCTATCACAAGTACTTGCCTGGGAAAGTGCTCTGAGATGCTGCTGTAAAATCAGCTCTGGGGCCCCAGTCCCTTCGTTTCTGTTGCTGCTGCAGCAGCTCCTCGGTTTGTAAGCTGCTATTCACATGGCTCTGCAGAGCACTGAGCTGAGGAATTGAGACAGGTTAAAACTAACCTAGGTGGGTGAACTGGTGAGTGTTAATCCTGTGCCGTTCCCCTGGTGAGGTTCACTACGTGGCACAGAAAGGGACAGAACCAGGCTGGAGGCAGGGGCGGACTGACCTAGCCTTTGGCCGAGGTCCTACACTGCAGTGTTCTCCCCCATGTGTGTCCGTGAAGGAAAGACTAAAACCTGGTACAATAAAGGGATGCTTTCTCTCCTTTCTACTGGCTAGACTTGTGTGCAGGGGTTTGAGGAGTATCAATTGCTTGGGAGTTTAACACAGGATTGGGGAAGACTGTTTAAACAGTGGCCAGTAGATGTCATCGTGAATGCAGGAACTGCAGGCTGCCTCATCCAGCCAAGGAGTAAAGTTGCTGTTTATTCTGGCAGGTGTTTTAAGTAGGGTGTGAAGGAGACCTCACCAGTCCATCTGCCTCCTCTTGGCAAAGGGAGATGGAGTTGGTAGATCTCAGGTGCTGAGGATCTTATCAGGAGCTCCTGGTGATGTAGCAGATTAAACTGCTTGTGGTGTTTGTGGAGAGTAAAATGTGGGTGGAACAGATGTGCTCACCAAGGCTGGCCAGTGAGATGGCAAGGGCTCACCTGGAAAAAGCTGGCAGCCTCTGTAACAATGACTGCAGCTCGGGGAGGAAGGAGTGGTCTTTGCCAACCTGCCGTGCAGATCTGGTCTCGCTGCTCCATGGGTGTCTGAAGATTAGTCTGAGCTCAGCATTGGTTCGCCTGTCATGGTGACACATCCTTTCTCCAAAGGACACCCAGGAGCATTCACTGATTGCAGTGTCTCTGCTGACTTGGCAAAACTGATCCTGGAGCACTGTTCCCCTCTGTGTTTTGAAGCAGAGCTGAGGGCTTATTAACCTCTGGGTTTGCCAGTTTGTGCCACGATTCATGGAAGCAACTGTACTGACTTCTAAATAAATTACTGCTTCCTTCTCCTGGGTGTCTTGTGTCTTCATCTGTGAGTGTCTGACACTTGACTTTGTTCCTATTTTCCCAGGTGTTCCTCTTTGTCGGATCTGATGCGTTCAACTGCTGCACATTCCTCTCAAGTACCTATATCCTAGCAGGGACTCAGGATGGGAACATATATCAGCTGGATGTGAGAAACACAAAGTGAGTGAGTGCCTGGGGCTGCAAGTACTTAAACAACAACTAGTTTTTTGGCTGGGAAAGAGGGCCAGATTGAGGGTCCTGGCAGACAAGGCCCCTTCTAAAGGGTGGATACAGCCCAAGCCATGGAAGCGTGAGCTTCTGAGCCTCTTGCAGCTATTTCTTTCTTTTGGGGAGCACTGGGGGGGATGCTTTTGCTCAGGTTGGTGATCTGATGGGATATTCTCTGGAAAGGGCCTCCTAAAAGACTGTATGCTCTGTGCAGATTCCTTAGTTACTGAAAAGCTTTTCAGTCTTGATCTGTGACCAGGGGTGCTCTTGGCATAGCCTTACCTTGCAGATTATTGCTTTTTTAATATATATATATACACAAAATTATGTTCATGTACTGTGAATATTATGTTATATATGAATATCTGTGTGATTATATACAATCTATGTACATATATATGTAGACAGATTTAGCAGAAAACTTCTTAACAGCAGTATGCCTCCCACCAAAAGCACAGCCCCTTCCTCTTCTTCACTGGTGAGATTTAAGTGTCTTTGTAGGATCCTAACATTTACCTGATCCTCATTCCAGCATAGGACTGGAACTGACCTGTCGCTGAGGGCGGGACCTGCTCTAAATTGGTTTTTCTTAGTGTCAAAGGCAAGCTCTGAGCAGGGAGGCTTCCAGATGGTGCTTTTGGGTGGGGGCTGGAGAGCTTGGCACGAAAGTCTGAAGAGTCTTTCACGCTGGATGAGCTCCAAGCTTTTGTCTTTGTCTTGGTAAGGATAATCTGTGTCTGTAATCCAGCATGGAGGCTGACTGGTGTTCACCTGCTAGGTAACTCTTTACTCCCATTTTGATCCTTTGGCAACACCTGCAGGGAAACCAGTGGTGACTTTTATCTGCTTCTAGAGGACAGAGACTCTTTGCTAACCACTGATCAAGTCCCCGTGTCCTGTATGTTCTCCTTGTGTACCTTTTAACCACGAGCTCACGTTCTTCTTTCGTTGTTCACACGTTGGAATGGGCTCTTGACTGTAGACCATAATACTAACCCCTTGTTTCCGCTCCCTTTTGTAGCGTTCCAATCCAGGTCATCCATAGATCAGGAGCACCGGTGCTTTCGCTGCTCCCGTACCGAGATGGATTTATTGCCAGCCAAGGTAACTCAAGGGTTGTGCTGTGCCAGTAGAAATTGTATGATTGAATCGAGGAGTTTCGTGCTCTTTGGATATTGTCCTCTTGCATATGAGCGCTGGCTGGCTTGTAGAAAAGGGTTGGACAGTGTCTGTGGCAAAAGGGTGATGTGGTAGGAGCTACATTACATGGTTGCTTTTTGCCGTGTGATTTCCACCCTCCACGCCCCGTGTTTCTCCAAAATAGGACCTCCAAGGTGCATCTCGACTGTTAGAACCTTTTCCCATCTCTCTGACATCCTCACAGCATGTTTCCCTCCTCCTGGGGGCTTCATACCCTGTGGTCAGGTGTTTCTGATGGACCTGTTAGTGCCTGTTTGTAATTAAGAGCATGGCTTCTTTCACTAATTGGCTGATGTTCCTTCCTTCCTTGGTATCTGTTCTGCTCATGTAGGTGATGGAACCTGCTTTATTGTTCAGCAAGACCTCGATTATGTCCTCGATCTCACAGAAGCTGACTGCGACCCTGTGTACAAGGTAAGGAACATGGTGTATCACCTGGGATAAAGGCTGTAGGGAA